AATTTCATTGAACTCCCTACTGTTGAAATATGGTTTCAATTTGGTAAATTTTAATGATTTGAAATTTATTATATTGATCATTAGCCAATAGTTAAAGAAAAGAAATTGACTTAAACATAATTAAGGTAAAAACATTTTATTAACTGGTAACGTTGCAGTTTAATGTTTTTTGTCGATATATTATAGTTTTGTATCAGTTTAATGTTTTTGTCGATATATTGTACTTGTGATGTTAATAATAATATTTTTTGTTAAACTTAAGATGATATTATTTTAATTTTTTGCTTAATATAATTTTAGATTTTAAATATGTTCAAAATGATTTGAATGTAGTACATAAAGGTTTTAAAACGGAAGTAATATAATTAGGCTGTCTAAATAATTTTAATAAAATTATGTGTGGAAAATTTAAAATTGTGTGATTGCTTGCTTACAAGACCCCCTTAATCTATTTGCTAAGCACATTTATTGATACAAGTTTAATGAATAGATTACAAGATTAGATAAACCAAGTTTAATGGGTAGATTGACGGCTATCTAAAACACAGGCCTATTAATCGTGCAAACCGTAAAAATAACTGGAGGCCGATTAACTCAGAAAAATTTACCGAAGGTTAATAACCTGGCTTAAAATTAGAAGAAGAAAAAATATTTCTTGAGGCTTATTATGATAAAGTATAAATTATGGTGAAAAGTGTTGAGTTCCTCTACTTATTATTTAACAGATAAAAAAGTTTACAGATTACCAAATAACAGATAAAAAAGTGTACTGTTTACAGATTACCAAATAACAGATAAAAAAGTGTACTGTTTACAGATTACCAAAAGATCCAGAAGAACGTAGAAAGTGACCAAGAAGCAACATTCCTGAAAGCAAATACACTGTTGTATGTTCTAAACATTGGCCTATAAATTTTGAAAAAATTAATGTTTATGTAACACATAAATAACATAAAGACTTTTTGTCTTAGCTTAAAGCACCTCATGATGAAGAAAATCATGGAAATTTGGCTTTGGTCCAGCTCTTGGCCAAATATGATCCACTTTTAGCTTCTCATCTCTCCATGTGTCAAGAGAAATTAATCAAAAGAATAGAAAAACTGAAACGTCAAGGTAAAGCCGGCAGTAAAGGTCGCTGTGCTCTGGTTACGTTTTCATGTAAGACTACTATATCAAAGCTTCTCAATATTATAAAAAACATGATACAGGAACAGATTGCAATGGAAGTGTCCAAAGCAAAAGTGTACTCCGTACAAGTTGATTCTACACAAGATATATCTGCAATTGACCAATTCAGCTTTTTCGTTTGCTATGTTTTAGATGCTACTGTGCATGAACGGCTGCTTTCTTTTGTACCAAGCACTGACGGTACTGGCCAAAGCATGTTCGATCTCTTTAATTTAACGTTAAAGCGGCTTGGCTTTAATTTGCAATACTGCCTATCGGACAGCACTTATGATGCTTCAAGTTATTATGGCCAGTACAACGGACTGCAACAAAAGATTACAGAAGCTGCAGTCACCCATGTACATATTTGGTGTTATGTTCATGTTCTCAACTTAGTTGTGAAGGAGGCAACCAGTTGCTGCATTCAGGCAGTTTCATTTTTTAACCTTTTGCAAAATGTTTCAACATTCACAAAAGTGTCATATAAGCGAATGGCGACTTGGATTAAACTTGTTGAAACACAAATTGGAACGGATAAGCTGAAAAGATTGAAATTGATTGGTGAAATAAGGTGGTCGGGTAAATCAAATGCTGCAACGGCGATATTTGGAACATTTCTTGAGCCATCTTCAACAGTGTTTATCAATTTAATTTTTTGCCTGTCATTTATAAGCGAATCAGAAAGTTTTGATGCAAAGACACGTCATGAAACTAAGACAATCCTCATGCCATTCCTGAAATTCGATACCATTTTGACTGCCTTTACCTACCTGCAAATTTTTGAAAAAGTGGGACCACTTTCAATATACCTGCAAACTCGTGGATTAAATGTGTTGGTTGCATTCAATATGGTGGATAAGGCTGCAATTGAATTGAAAAGTCAATCAAGATTTTTTGATGCTGTTCATATTAACGCTCTTCAATTTGTACGGATGGCAAACGCAAGCATCATCCAGAAAACTGAAACCATATTAGAGGTGAAGATAGAACTAACAGTTAAACGGAAGCGGAAGATACCAATGATGTTAGATAAACATACATGACGAATCTAAAGCTTTGGAACCCTACAGAATTTGCACTTTCAACGCGGTGATGGATCAGATAGTCCAAAGTCTGGAGTCACGTTTCACTTCACATTGACAGTTATATATGGACATGGCATGTTTTGATACATCAAATTTTGGTGATCTTGCTATTTTGAGAATTTCTGAAAACAGTTTACCCAGTTTACAAGATTAGATAAATAGCATTATCAAATTTTTACCAGATGCTGACGTTGATAGAATAAAAGCCAAGCTGTTTTCATTTGTGATTAACTATGAGATTTTGAAATTATCTTTACCATTAACGACAACATTGAGAGAGATTGCCGATCAAAAGGATGACCCAGATTAACCGCGTTGTTATCAGAATAATAATAAAGGATCGTGTCGATCTTGTGTGTTACGATTTCTCGCTGCATATAGACTCAACGACAAAACCTATGACAATTTGTATCATAATTATAAAAAAATATATACTAATTTTGTAACATAAACCGAAGGTGAAAGATCGTTTTCTAATTTAAAGTTAATCAAGACAAGATTGCAAAATTCTATGTTGAATGACGACTTAGAGTTGTATATGTTTATGTCTTTAGGAAAAAGTCTACTTGATAGCCTTGAATACGATACAATCATTCTAAGATATGCATCTTCGTCCTCTGAATTGAGCAAACCGTTTTTAAGAATAGTTATTGCCATACTTTGCACTGTGGAAATTGCACATCACTTGTACTTTTTTAATTCAATCTAATTTTATTATTCTGTGATTTAATTGTTTCTCTTAAGACTTATTTTTAGAAAATTGCGGACCGTGCAGTCTTTGCGATATATGTATAGACGGGAGGGCCCTTTAATTATTTTTATGGCCGGTAATATATATACGGCCAGTCCGCCACTGGTGTCATGTGAAGAGTAAGCTGAGAAAAGTATGAGAAAACTTGGGGCTACTTTGATATGTGGGTAGCATTGACATTCATTAGATAAATATTTTTACCTGTTGACTATTGTTTAATTATTTTACCATATGTTGCAGCCAGATGAACGAACATAACTATTTTTACTTGCATTTTAATTTAAATAACAACATGGTACATAAATTAATTACATTTAACTGTGGGCATAAATTAAAATAATTTCTTGCTTTTTTAGTAAATATTAGGATATGGATATTGAAAACCAAAACGCCCCAAAAAATACTCTAACTTTTTCAATAATGGCGCGCTGAATCATTTCAGGTACATATAGACGTTATCTTACGTTATATAGACGTTATCTACACATATATAAACGTTATCTACACGTTATATAGACGTTATCTACACATATAGACGTTATCTTACGGATTTAGCAAAATCTTTTGACAAAGTCCAAAGCTATGGAATCAATGAGGAGCTTTGCGCATGGATTAAAGCATGGCTATTAGGAAAATAACAGACAGTCATAATCAGAGAACATGCCATTGGGAAAATGTTGCCACCAACGACCCTAACGTACGTTGCTGGTAATATTTTTGTAGCAATGCTCAAAGACCATTACAAACAGTAATGGTCTTAAAACCGAAATACTTGTTCGGTTTAATTTGATTTAAATTCGGACCATTACTGTTTGTTCTGTATATCAATGATCTTCCAGACAAATTTAAACATCAGATCAATTTCTACTATAATGATAGCGTAGTCATAAAGTTATTCCTAGACGCGGGTTTCATGCAAGCAGACATTCAAAGCCCTTCAAATCGAGAAGTACAATAAGATGTGACTACGCCGGGTCTATGCATCTATGCGGTCTATGCATCATATATGCAAAATTTATCTATTAAATATAAAAAAGCTATGAAAGATCATAGAGTATGAATGAACCAACCATTATTCTTTGGAGAAATTGATTTCATAAAACCTAAAGAAAGGTTTAATAAATTGTTGAAAAACTATGATCATATCTATTTTACTATTTTACACTTATTATGTCTAAATTTTTTATCAATTTATAAATTTAAGTTAAAAAATAAAAAATTGATTTACACGGACACGAAAAATTTTGGTCCGTTTTCAAAACTTTTGAAATATTATCACGGATCATTTTTTTCAAGGTGGACCAAAATTATCGCAAAAATTTATCCGGTCGGACCAAAAATTTCAACGAAAATATTGGTCCGGGATAAAAATTTTCGCGGACCAAAATTCCAACGACAGAGCTCATCAAATTAATATACTAAAATATCAGCACATATTAATAGAATTTAATTTTTTCTTACGGACGCTACTTTGGATACGGACGCTACTTTGGATTAATGACTATTTGTGGCTGTTCCTATGCTAACCCAACAATATCTTTGGATATAAGAACATTGTATAGAAAAATATCGCATGAAAACTCAAATAAATAAAAAATAAAAAAATAACAACTACTGATTTTGTTTTTTAATGTTGACTGGTTGTTATATTTCATTAAGGAAATATAGGCCATTTCGGAGTTAAGGTCTTTTTTCAATTGTTAGTCGTCAAGAGGAAATAATAAGTAGCAAACCTCATATTGCGGACAAAGGTTATTATAACTTACTGGAGTCCAATCAGACAACACTGCATGAAATTAAAAAAAGTTTTCCCGATCAACTAAAATAGTTAAATAATGCCGAAAGGAAAAGCTTAACCATGCGGAACCTAAACTTATTCGAAATTTAAAACTTTAAAACGATTAAACATTAAAAATTATAATTGAGAAATTTTTACCGTAAAAAAGTTGAAAAATCTTATCTGTTACAAATTTAAATAAAACAAATTGTTTTATAAAATGTCAGAAAAATCCTACAAAGAATTTCATTTCTTAAGAGAGTTTAAATATTTTTTGAAAGGAAACAACACTAATAAAGATACGGAAGAGATAATGTTACGTAAAAAAATTTTTGTAATACTCTGTGCATGTCATGTTGTTGCATTTGCTCAAGCAAGTGGTTATTTTATTCAAAACAATGCTTTACCCTACTTAACAAAGAGTTTAGGAGTTACTCCACAAATGTATGGCAACCTTATGTCGTTTACAGCTATTGTTCAACTAATAGGTGGGCCATTTTGTGGAAGACTTGGGGACCTTTACGGTGGTAGACTACCTCTTATTTTATCTTTTGTTTGTTTATCGATTACTTGGGCACTATTGGCATTTGCTACGAATATTCCTTTTTTGTTTATTTCAAAACTTCCTTTGGTCATGGCACATGCTCTACAAAGTACTTATTTGATTATTTCCGATGTAACAACAACGCAGCAAAGAGCTGATATGCTAGGAAAACTTGGTGTTTCACACGGACTTGGAATGATTGTTGGCTCTGCATTAGGAGGATTGATTACTGGTAAATTAGGTACTAATTCCGCGTTTATAACTGGAAGCTTAGTTATGGGTTTTTGCATTGTTGTTACTTTAATTTTGATACCTAAAAACACTAAGCCAATAAGAAAGCAGCTAGCAATGTATTCTGGAGAAAAGGAATTATTTAATAATGAAATGAAATCTCAAAAATGTTCATTTATGGGAATTAAAGAGATAATTGAAGTTGCAAAAACACGGCATGTTGGATACGTATTGGCATTAAAAGTTATTACCGGAATTCCTTTTAGTGTTTTATCTTCAATGTTTACTTTTATTATTATGGAATATTATCATCTTGGTCCAAAAAGTAATGGGTTAGTCCTTGCTTATTTAGGAATTGTTGGTATGATTACGCAAGGAATTCTTGTTGGATATTTAACACAAAAAGTTCCTGATGCACCACTTATAATTATTTCTGTAGTTATAATGGCAGTAGGTTTTTTATACTTAATAATTGCTGACAGTATTTATTTATTCTGTGCGGTTTCTGTACCTTTAACAATTGGCGCTTCTTTAATTCATGTTATTATCACATCGTTAATTACAAAAATTGTACGAGAAGACCAAACAGGTGCAGCTTTGGGACTTACACTAGGGTGCTACACTCTCATGAGAACAGTTTCTCCAGCTGTAGGTGGTTTTTTTTATGCCCACATAGGTTTTTTCTCATTTGGGGCACTAGGATATTTTATCGATATGATGGTCATACTTTACTTAGCGTTTATTGGTCGAAAAGATTTCAGTTAATTTTTTTGTTTTATAATCAAATTATTAGGCATTATATAAATACTTTTATACATGTTTTTGAAATTTTTTTTGATGTTTTTGCTTTGTATAAAATTATATTTAAATTAAAAATATCTTTCAATTTTTATTATACGGAAACACCCAGTGTCTCAAATGTTTTTATAATTCTAAAATAATTCTAAAATGTTTATTAATAATAAATGATATTTTTTTAAATGTTTTTTTATTTAAAACAAAATTTTCATTTTTAGTTTTATTTTCCCGAAAATATTGACTAAACGTTCTCTTGCAGCTTAAGTTTTAACTGCTAACTTTTCTTTTCAAAAATAAATTTTTTGTTTTAGTTGCACCTCTTTCTTCTTTTTTTATAATATATTTAAATACTATCATAAATAAAAGAAGAGCTGTGTTTGAAAACAACCATTCACGGAGTCAAAGTCACTGTGACAACCATTTATTTTGTGACAAGCAATACCTTCTATTCACGGAGTCGTGTAACAACCATTTACTTTGTGACAAGCAGCACCTTCTATTCACGGAGTCGTGTGACAACCATTTATTTTGTGACAAGCAACACCTTCTATTCACGGAGTCGTGTGACAACCATTTATTTTGTGACAAGCAACACCTTCTATTTACAAAGTCGTGTGACAACCATTTATTTTGTGACACCTTCTATATAAGTAGCATAACACCTTCTATATAAGTAACACAACAGTTGTTTAAATAAAAATAAAAATAAATAAAAAATTACGTCTTTTTTAATAGATTTTTTACTTTTATCAAATGAATAGTTTTTCAAAGAAAATGAAGGCATAAGTAATCCAACTTTTTTATATCAAAATCTTAAAAATACCAATAAATTTCATTCTACGCGCTAAAAAACGCTTAAAGTAACTGTGAAAATGTTTTTTTTTTGGTCTCTGTTCTATAATTAAAAAACTATAAATCTTATTTACATTTTATGTGATAAGCTCTTTGACAATATGCCGTTTTAACTTTAAAATATAATAAAACTACATTATTCAAAAATTAATAAAACAAGAATAAAATATTCTTAAGTTAATAAAAAGTTAATAAAACGAGACTTTATTAACTTTAGAATATATTCTTGTTATCCTTTATAAACATGCACTTCTCTAAAAACAAAAAGTGTGTATATTTTATTAATAAAATGATTGTTTTTGCTAAAAGACTTCCTTATTTGCTTAAATCTCATGTTGTCTATAAATTTTCTTGCGCTGGCTGCAATGCCAGTTATATTGGAGAAACCTCCAGACATTTGGCAACAAGAATAAATATAGCACCTTAAAATTGATAAACAATCTCGTATTTAAACACTTAAACTTATTTATTAATTGCAAAAATCTGGCTAAATGTAATTCTTTTGAGATTTTGGATAATGTCCCAACCAAACACAAATTAAAGATAAAAGAAGCCCTCCACATTAAATGGGAAAGTCCTCACTTAATGCACACAACTGAAAATAAGCAAGTTTTTTGAAAAATATCAATTTTTAGATTTTTTGGTATTTTGATTCTATAATCATTCAATAAACATATAAAAAAAATTAGTCTTAAAAATGATATAAAAGTTGATTTAATATCATTTTAGTACATGACAGTTAAAAAAAAAATTACCTAACAACGCCTTAGCAACCATCAATCATATGAGTTTTTATGAATTCAAAACAATAAAATACCATCACAAACTTGATTTTAATGTGTTATATGCAGACTCTTGTTAGTTTTCCGTTTTAAAAGTCATATTTCAACACTAAATTTAAGAACAGGAGTGTTTTGGTCTATTTGAGTGTTAGTTTTTTATACTGTAACTTTTCTCTCATTTTGTACCAAATAATTTTAAAAGTGGTTTCAATTTAGTTGGAATAAAGTTATTTTTAAACAAATAAACAAGGAAATAAAAGTAAACGAAATTTATCAAGAAGGATAAAACGAAAATGGAATGGTGTTGCTGGAAATGAAAAATCATTTTTTTCCTCTATCTCATCATCGTCCACAACTCAAACAGCTATTAGCTTTTCTAGTGAAGGGAAAATCAAACTCAACTATTCGAATACATTTGATTCTGAAAAAGATAATTATTTTGTTTTTATTAACCTTTCAATTCTTAAATAACTGATAGCTGAAACTGCATGCAACAACTGTTTTCAGCCATTACTTTGAAGCATTAAATTCAATTATATGGTCTCACGTACCAAAGCACACATTTGTTAGTAACTCTACAATTGAAATGAGAACATACTCAGCAGTGCTGCATTATAATGATGGTGCTAATGGTGTATTAGAAGTTTTAAATTACTTTGGCTTGAATGGCATTGTTACATGAGCTTCGTCATGTAAAGTTAACAAAACCAGAATTCGGCATATGGATAAAGTAAAATGCAGAGAAAAAAACTGAGTTAAAAAAAGTTTCATAGATAATCAGCAAGTAAAAGAAACAACTGATAGTTACATCTCTGGTGGAATTTGATAATTTTTATGTTCTTATTATATATTTTTTTCTTATTTTTGCTTTTTTCTCAATATGTATTTTTTTTAAACTTTGAAACACATTTTCTCATTAACGAAACAGAATTACATAAAAAATCAAGATTTTAGGTTTTGAAGATTTACTAAAAGCATTTTTTTTTACGACACATTTTCGGCCATTATGGATAATAAAATTAAAAAAAATTTTTTTTTGCTATTTTCTATTTTATTTTAATATAAATTTATTCTTATAAAAAAAAAAAAAAAAAATTCAAAATTTTGATTATTTCAAAAAAAACTTGTTTTCAGTTGTGTGCCACCGTAATAAACAAGCTTCACAATATAAACTTATCTATTCAATTTTACTGTCAGTTTATTATTCTTATTATTTTTGACAATTGGTTGTTTTGATTGGTTATTTACCGTGTTATTTTGTAATAAATATATTGGTTTATTATATATAATTTTCGTCTGTTATTATTTCTCTGTAAAGACTTGAAACATGTCAAGAATAAAAAACATTGTGTTATTACTTGATTTATGCTATTACGACGATCACAAAATATATATATATATATATATATATATATATATATATATATATATATATATATATATATATATATATATATGTATATATATATATATATATATATATATATATATATATATATATATATATATATATATATATTATATATATATATATATATACATGTATACAGGCACGCCGGAAGGGTCTAAGGGCAGGGGTGGCAAACCAAAACACAAGGGCACTTTCCAAAATATCAACACAATATTTTACTATATATAATATCTAATATATACAATATATATAAACTTTTTAATTAACCCTATCGTTCTCCAAAAAATACACAAAAAATCTCACTTTGTCTACTTTTTTCACTATTACGAATCGCGTGTACAGTGCAATTAACACTAATGATTATAACATGCTATTAAACAGTCTACTAAATAAATCAACTGTTTTTTAGTTACTTTCTAGATATCAATAATATATTTCATCGTATGCCATTCTTAGTATCATCGTATGCCATTCTTTACAAGGTGCTTGAGCAATTTCAAGTGTATTTGCGGAAATAAATCATTCTGTTTGGCAAATTCTGTTTATCAATTTTTTAATGATAATTTTGATGATTTTTTTTGTTTATCTGAACAAACATGATGATGTTCAGGTGATTGCTTCCAGTTTGTGACCCATGTTTTTACTCTCCTCATTACACTAAAGCTTCTTTCACATGGTGATGTCGATAGAGGCATGGTGTAGTAAAGCTTCATTAGTTAGTATGTTTGTTTATTGGTGATTTTTGCATTTGACATGGCATTAAAAAAATCTGCAATTGTTGCAACTCTGAAAACACTCTGTATTTTGATTGATGAAATAGCATTGTACAGCTTAATAATTGTTAACATGATTAAATCATTTAAAAATGGCATTCCAAAAAAAAAGGAGGGGAATCTTGTTTATTCACTTATGAAATCAAACTTCTTATGTATTTTTTACAGCTGTTAATCCATCCTGTTAAAATCTCTCACTCAAACTGTTCTGAATAGCATCAATTGCTTCAAAATAAGATTTCTTTTATTTTTGCTCTAACTTAACAGAACCAGTCGATGCACCGCCCAATGTAAGCTTTTCATTAATTTCTGAATAGCGTAATGTTTTAAGTATTACTCTTTGTCTCTGCGTAACTTCGGTTTCAGACTCATTATCTTGCATTATTCCAGGTTTTTTTTTGTCGTCTTTAAAATTCTATTAAATTCTTTATCTGATCTAAGTTCAGCAAACCTCTGAGACGCATTTCGAATGCAGAATACTGCAACATCACCGATCAGATTAATTTCTTGTAACTGCTTTGATAAATTCTCTAGAATAGCAAAAAAATCAAAAGTGCTTTGCAGTTCAAAAAGTGTTTTTACTGATGAAAGCTGAGATAATAAACCTTTAATTTGTGCTCTTGTTTCTGCAGCAATAATCTTGTTACTCTGAAGGCTGCTCAATATTGTAAAGAGTTCTGCAATCTTCTCCAACACAACTTGTACTGCTTTTGTTTGTGTTGCCCATCGAGTCATTGGCATAGACTTCAGTCGCAGTATTCTGTATTTATCTGATTCAGACTCATGCAATATATCTTTTTGAATTTGTTCAAAAAAGGAAACACGCTTTGGATATGCCCTAATAATTATATAAATTGACTGGAAAATGCTAAGAGAATCTGACAGTAGTGATGATATAGCATATGTATCCTTAACAATCAGCTTGCTGTAATGTGTCGTGCAATAAATATATTTTGCTTGCTGTCCAAAAATATTTTTTGGACAGCAATCACAAGGTTTTTATTCCATAGTAAAAAGTGTATCGAAAAACTTATAGTTGTTACGAAACAGTTACAACGAAAAACTCATGGTTGAAGTATAAATGAAAAACAAAGTTACAACAAAAAACTCATAGTTGTTAAAAGTTACAGATACTTTGAACTGAAGAAC